TGTCTTACACCAACGGTGGATATAGAACCTCATACTTGCCAAGAAATAACACATGTGAAGCAAAAATTGTTTGTCTTGTGAAGCTTTTGACAGCTGCAATTTCATAATTTTTAAGTGTCAGATTTAACATATGTCTCATTTGATATAGATGGTTGTATTCTTTGGGCTGTAGCTGAGAAAACACACATTCTTTTGTAAGTGTTTTATTGCCAGAAAACTGCTGGACTCTTCTCTCCCAGCTTACAGAAAGGTCCACTTCTCTGCTTGCTTGGACTAGAGGAGATGGAAAGGAAGGCGGGGGGAAGGAAAGTGCTTTCCTGATGAAGTCCCTCTGCCTGAAAACCAGTATTTGCCCAAGGGGTAGATAAAATAATTTTGGAGAATCCATTTTTCGGTCACTTAAGTGGCTAACTTAAAAGATTCAACTCAGCAGTATTCACTGGAATCTAAATATAAAATCCTTAATGGAGGACTGTTCTCAGAATGTTAACTGAGAATGTGGAAACTGCATTTTATTGAGTTTTCTGTAAATACTAACATATATGTTATATAGACACATGCACACATTAACACACATTTAGACATGTGTACATATATATATCTCAAGAGTTTTTATGCATACATACATTTATATACACACAAAAACACATATCATATATACATATATACTGTCTTTCTCTGTACTACAAGGCCAAGTGCCACCTGCCTTTAACATCCGTGATGAACACTTCAGGGATTGTTTAGAGATAATTGCATAAAAGACAGTGTATAAATTTTCAAAAAGACTTTGAAACAGCCAACGTTCTTGTCCAGGGTTCTCCTAAACAAAAGACCCAAACTTGGCTGAGTACAAATCTCGAAGCTAATGAACCCTGATGTCCTTTGTACCTGTGTCTTGTGTTTAGATTTGCTACTGTCTGAATAAGATATGAGAGCCAGCTGATGCTTTGACTGCATTTAGAGGTAGATATTAATGAGAGAGGTTCACACTGTAACACTATGCTTGTAGCAATATTGAGGGTCTCTCATGGACAATCTCTGGCTTCACAATTTCATCAGACTTGCAAGAATTTAGTATCTTTAGACTGGTTTGGTAGGAACTAAACAAGGTCTGAAGTAACCAGGGGAAATTCCTATGCAATTATCATTTACACACTCACATGCAAATACAGAATGATTACAAACAGTTGAACTCCTTAGAAAACAGACTGAAATATTTAAGTAAAAACAAGTTTACTTCCAGTATGTGTGAGTTTTCCTGTTCCCCAGAGTAATGCAGGCTGTTAGAACTCTTTAGAGCTCTGTCATGGTTTTACTTGGTCCAATTTTTGGGGGTAGGGGGATGGGACCAAGAAACCACAAAGATGGCTGCTGTGAGGAAGTTCTAGAAATTTTCTCCTTCTTCTCCAGCAAAAGGAGCCCTATCCCCTGTGTTTTAGAGCCAATCCATTATGGCTCTGAGGTTGGCAGACAAGCTGCTGGTCAGGCCTGGGCCAATTGCACTGGCTAGTTACACCTCTGTGATGACGTATGGTCTTGTACTTAAGAAGAATTCAAAACAAGATCGAGCGTGGCTATTTAGTTTTTAGGTTGTTAGTATTTAGTTTTAGTATCATGCACTGGGGAAAAACAGAGCAGGAGGGTGAGGAGATGTAAGAAGAAAAAATGGAGACCCAAGATCACAGTAAGAAGAAGATGGGATGGGTTGCTGTGCTTTTGCTGTGGTTCTCGAATACAGAGAAAACAAGTTGTTCTTGAAAGGACTATTTCATCAATGGGAGACRTGTATAGAAAAGGAGAGCGATCTTGCTCTGAGGAAAAAAAAAAACAACTGGCCTTTGAGGACTAGACTGAACTGATTAGAAGCCAAAAAAAAAGATGAAAAGGCTTGGCCCCACCACAATGTTTGAAGCTAGTTGATGCTAAGAAGAAATTGTGCTCTGCGGGGAGGGAGAGGTGCCCCCGCTCCACATCTGAAGCAAGTGGATGCTGTATTCTGCCAGGAGATTTGTAATAGTAGTCTTACACCACCGGGACAACACAGTTTGGCCTTGAAGAACATTCTTTCCTTTCTCCTATGAGGTAAAGAAAAGAATCCCTTGCCATCAGCAGTTATACACTGTTTCTTGGGAAAAGACTTTCCACAGCTTAGAGCTGTAAGAATGTTTCTCCTATGATGCTGGACGACAACCGTAATGAGTAGTTTGATCTATGTAAGACTTTCATTCCTGCCCCCCTTTGAATGCAGGAAGACATGGGGGGGGCGGCGGGGGGGCGAAGGGATGACCTGAGACAGAGATGGGTCCCCAGAAAGGATAACAGGTGTCTTAAAATGTCCATTTTTATTTTTCTTCTCTTTGTAAATTTTTCCCTATCTTTGTTCCCCTCCCCGAATACTAATACTATCCTAAGATAGTATTCTTAGTAGTTTTTAGTAATAAATCTATTTTGCAACTTAAGTTATTCAGCCTGTCTGACCATTCTCTGGAGCATATACGTATCTTTCTCTCAATTATGCTATATTATCTGAAAGCCATAAATTTTTGGGTAAATTGGGCTTTTGCTCTCCCTTCTGCTCTCTCTGGTGGGAAGGGAGGGAACGTCATGGGTGCTTTTGGCTTTCAGCACAGTCCAAACCACGACCGACAAGCTCTATAGCACAGAGTTTGACAGAATAATTGTTCTTTTATTTATAAATATTTTTTAATTTTTTAATTTATGATTGATTCCCTTTTAATCTCAGACAAAYAGAAGGGCATGATTGAAAGCATTCAGCTTTTTCCAATATGTCCCAAGACTCAAGGATCCTGGCATTCAAAAATGCGTACCCCCGTTAACACCAGAACAGCGATTGTTTCAGAATCATTTATCCAAAGACAGTCTATAAAATTCACTATTCTCTCCTTTGCATACTAGAGAACTAAGGCTCTGTGACACTTCATATTGCAGAAGAATGGAAGAGTTCTTCACATTTTAAACCCAGGGCTATGTCAGAGTAATAACAAGGTACACAAGGACACAGTTGAAAAGACTGAACAGATGTATTATTCTGTTCCACTTTTTAATTTAAGTCTTACATCTGGACTACATTTCTATTGGACATTTCGGACACAGATTTATTCTTAGTGTGACTGTGCAGAAAAAAATAGATTTATTTTGGGGATTAGTTTGCCCTGTTATGCCAACATCCCCATATTTTCATACTAAGCCTATATCAAGATGTTTTTAAGATTTCCTTTACTTTAAACTGACTGAAGAATTGCTCCTATAAATAACATTCTGATAGGAAGGGCAGAGAAGAGAAAGAAAAAAAAATGCAGAGAGAAGTACAGGCAACAAAACTCAATAGCTTTTATTTTGTGATAACAGAGTACCATTTCCATTTAATGCTACTAAAATAACACAAGACTTTATTATTGGGTACAAACAACACATAAGGAACATCTATGGGACACTGGATAACTCCTATTAGTGAAGGAAAATCTTCATAACTCACATGTTGGTTTACCACCTCATTTTATGAACTCTCAATTACGAGACAGCAGCAGTGCTTCCCACTATGAAAACATCTAACTTCTTCAGGGCACACTGCATGACAGTTTTCCCAATGCTGGCCTTCGGAGGACTTTTCTGAAGAGGGGATTGCACATATGATTTGTTTATGTGTTGGAAGGGTAGATGGAGACAACAAATAAAAAAGGAAGGCTGCTTCATTTTCTCTGCATGCAATGCTCTGTACAAAGCTGATTGAGCTCGACCTGTTCTCTCCCCTGACAGCATGGGAAAGTAAAAAATTCATCCCAGACCTTGATAGATAGCCGAGGGATTGGGAGAAGGGGAAAACTTGCCTCCTGACCCTCATGTCCCCTTTGACAGCATGGGACTAGAACAAGTCATTATCTGATTCCCCATGKACTCATGATCAGTCTTCTTGCAGCCCCTTTCATGGTTTAGAGTTCTACAAATCATTCTTGTAAGGAATAGAGCGACAATAGTTCTCCAAGCACCAAAAAGGGCTGGAGAACTCCTAGTCCTGAGCCTTACAAATGCTGCCTTTATCTTCTGATTTGTGGAAGAATACTATTGTAGTCAATGTTTTGATTTCTAAGGGGTTTTTTTTGTTTGTTTAGGTTTTTTTTGGTTTTTTTTTGTTTTTTTTTGTTTACTTATGCTTGTAATACTTCCAAGTGCTTGTAAGGATACACTTCCTGACACCCAAGGAACTGATACACTGATTGGAGGCCAGTGGCACTGTCCCCAGACATTTAAAGAATGTTCCTGACAGGTTGCTAGCTTGCTTCCAAGCCTCCAAGCCTACTCTGCCYACCACTGCTGAGGTAAGAAGCAGAGGATTCATTTTAAAATTCTTGTTGCAACCTGCAAGACCTTCAGTGGTCCTGCACAACAGCACAAGCTGTTTTCCCCAGCTGCACTGCAAACTCCAGTCCATCGATCGTCCTACTGCTGGCTCTAACATGAMAATACCAAAGAACTTTCCCATTTTTGCATAACACATCTGAAATGCTTTGCCAATTTGTAGAATATTGACTCATGCCCAAGTTTTTTTTACATACAAATGCCGTTCTGGGATAATGCAGCATATACTGCCCCATTGCTGATACAATTATGTTCTGTTGATGCTGTTATGACTTTGTTTTTCAGATACTTGAGTGTTTATTGAAACAATTGTACATGAAAGCTTAAGATAGAATATAGAGAAAAAAGCATCAAAACCACTCAATGCTCTTTGGAAGAAAATACTACCATCAAGAGATATCTATTTTTAAATTATTTTAACACATAGTGGTTAAATGAAATCACAACACACCACAGGCCTTTCTAGCACTACTGAACTGCTCAGCAAGAAGGCACTTGCTGCTCAGGAACTTGACTTTTAGAAAAAAAAAGAAGTGCTCACTATTAGAAAGCATATTTCAAGTTAATTGTACAGAAAAGTAACCACTTTAGAAGTGCCAWATAGTATATAAAACGAGGCAGTGACAAATTTCATTTCTGTTTTTTATTGTGTTCCATTTGAAATAGCACATTAAGACAACACAAGTTTTCTATGCATATAGCTGTATATACATGAGTGAATATGTGTGTGCATGGCACAGCTAGCTGAACCAATGTGTTAAAAGTATGTACTTTCATACATAGTTAAAATTATTTGGTCACATTTTTTAAATAAAATGGAGAGGCTAGGGGTGGGGATTAATATCTAGAAAACTCAGGCCAGACCTAGGTCCTGAGGCAACTTAGAAAAACACAGACACACACACACACTCATGCACACGAAAATGAGCCCACTACTTCTGCAGTCAAAACTTTCTGTGTTAGAGTATGGTAAAACAGGTGAAATGAACACACTACTGGCACAAATACAAGTGTTCTCCTTTTGTTTTGATGTCTCAGAGAAATAAGGCATATGATGCAGCCACGTGTAAATTGCAATGGATCTGTCTGTTTCTATGCTGGTAAGTGATTTTGCACCTAATTCAGAACCCACTGGCCTGTTTCAAATGTGCTTATCACTGGAAATTCTTGATTATAGTTATACTGCCTGTGTTTAGGTCAGAGATACCATCAATGCCTCAAACAGATACACTCCTAAAACACTTCTAATCTATCAATCATGTGAGAGAAATCCACAGAAAACCAAACTTAATTAGCCCCACTATTCATGGAAGTATTTCAAATAAGCTGAGCAGCCAACTACGTAAGTCGAAAGTACCACCAAGTAAACCCACTCCTACATTTTATATTTTGTACTAAACCATAAAGTCACTACAGAATGTTTTGGGTTGGAAGGACCATAAAGGTCATCTTGTTTCAACTCCGTGCCATGGGTAGGAACACTTTCCACTAAACCATGTTGCTGAGAGCCCCATTCAACCTGGCCTTTAACACTTCCAGACAGGGCATTTACAGCTTCTCTGCGCAAACTGTGCTAGTCTCACCACCCTCCCAGTAAAGAATTTTTTCCTAACATCCAATCTAAATACTGTCAGTTTAAAGCCATTCCCCCTTGTCCTGTCACTATATTTCAAAATGCTGGGAAATGCTTCCACAGTAGCTGGAACATTTAGAATTATATTCCTAAATGGAAAATTTCCAGCCTGACATGCTGTCAAAAATAAAATTAACAATCCCTTTATGAAAAATATTTTTATGATCTTGCCAGTCTRTTTCTTCATGTCCTCTCACGTGTTAAATCAGGCTTTAAGTGAATCTCTTAATAGTCTTTGCCTTACAAAAAATATCCTAAATAATGGAAAGTGAGAAATAAACAGAACATATTACATGATGTGTTCACGTTGTTCACTTAATAAATAACTTTGTACTGATTTAGGATGCAAGTTTTCATGTGTTAGGTGACTTGGCCTTTGTTGATCTAAACTTAACTTCTGTCACTTAGGGACTGTAGATGGTATTACAATAAATTTTCCTTCAGCAGCTCAGTTGCCTTGCTTTAACATTACACTTGCAGACTTCTTAATTATCTGTAAATGTTACAACTTCTTCAACTGTGGCAGTAGAGACTACATTTGACAGTCTAGAAGTGTATTTTGGGGAGCCTTGACTCTCTTCTGAATAATGAGGCAGATATATCCAGCTTAAGACAGCTTTGTATCCAGGTGGCACAGGCAGTAAAAACATGTCTTCTCTAATGCATTTCTAAAAACTTGCCTAGTGTTTGAGAYGAGGGCTCAGGAGAGCAACTTCACATGTTAGGTGATGTCTGTACCAGTGGCAATAACTGGGGAGACAATAAATAGGAAAATTTTCTTTACCTTGCTGCTGTAAAGGTCCCATTCAGCCCATATAAATCCATTAAAAAATCCATTTTCCATGGTGATTAGGACAACTTTGGCCTTGGTCTTGCGTGAATATTATTTTGGTGAAACATTAACTTAAACAACACTACAATTAAAATACTAAAGCTCTGAAATCATGATTGCTAGAGTTCAAGTTGGCCAACACGTAATTCTTGTTTCAGTTAGTGAAACAGCTCCGCTCAAAATCCAGTTTTGATTATTCATAAAATGCCACCAAATTCACACCAGTGACAAAATCTTATACCAGAGAGTTTCACAAGTAAGAATTTTGGTTAAAAGACTTTTGAGATTCTTACCTCCACAAGTGTTAAATGTGTCTCAAATCAGTTGCTCTCCAAATGCATCTCATCTCTTACTATTTCTGCAATAAGATTGACAGCTTTCTGTTGTAACTTTGCTTTTTAAAGAACTTATAATTTTTGAGGTTCTGGTGGACAAAAAGCTGGACATGCACTTAAAAGGAATGGAGCCTGGAAAGACAACCATGTCCTGGGCTGCRTCGTAACTAACCTGGTCAACAGGTTGAAGGAGGTGATTCTGGCCCTCCGCTCTGATGTCTTGAGACCATCACCTGGGGTTCTGTGTCCAGCTCTGGGGTCCTCAACACAAGAAAGACATGGACCTGCTGGAGTGAGTCCAGGAAGGCCTGCAAAGATGATCACAGGACTGGAGCACCTCTGCTAAGGAGATGGGCTGAGAAAGCAGTGTTCGGTCCAGAGAAGACTGGAGACCTTAGAGCCCCTTTCTAGAGGTGGGGTTGTAAGAAAGAGGGAGAATGAGTTTTTACACAGGTAGACAGTGGTAAGATCAGTGGGAGCAGTTTTAAACTAAAAGGGGAATTRGGATAGATGTCAGGAAAAAGTTCCTTACTGTGAGGGTGGTGAGGCACTGGCACAGGTTGCCCAGGAAAACTGGGCAGATGCTCCATTCCTGGAAGCCCAGGAATGTCCATTGAACAGGATCCTGAGCCACCTGCTCTCATGAAAGGTATCTCTGCACACGGCACAGGCTTGGAATGAGATTAGCCATAAGGTTCCTTCCAACTCAAACCGACCTGTGATTCTATGAAGCGCCCTCCTGGGTTTCTCAAAACGTAAAGCTTGAYAAAATACCAACAAATGTAAGCATTTTCTGCAGAAATACTATTTGTTTAAGCAGAATGCTCCTACTTGTTTACAGCTCACACATAACGATCACGGCGCTGCGTTTAAAACCCCATGATTTACGAGAAAGCTGCTGCTATTCCATTTTAGAGACGCAACTGATTCCCAGCGCTCCTTTGGGAAGGGGTATACAGGCACATCCCCTTGGGCAAATCCASACGGTGAGAAGTGCTGGGATCAAAGGACGCACACCATTCGGCAAACCGGACACACATTTCCCTCCGGCGAAGCGACTCCGCCCCATCCCCCACAGAGCCGCTCCTGCGCTCCGCGCCCACGACGGAACACCAGCCTAGCAGCACTTCCGCTCTCAGCCCTCACCGCCTGTGCGGCAAAGGCAAAAGGGAGGGTGCGGTGACCCGCGCGCATGCGCACACCGCGCGCTCCCCCCACGGGCCKCCGCGCTCTATTCGCGCCACGGCTGGACCGGGCGGGGCTGCTCCACCCCTGCGCCCCTCTCTCCTCTCCTGGTGCTCCGGCGGTGCCGCGCCGCACGCGGAGATCGAGGGGAGGTTCAGCGCTGGGTGACCTCCCGTGTCACGTGGCCGGGGTCGCGGCGGTGCCCTGGCCAGGACCGGCTGCCCCCACGGCGCCTGACAGGGCTGTCGCTGAGGGGCCCGCGGGCCGTGCTCCCCTGCAGGCGTCTCTGCCTTCTTCGCTTGTCCCCAGCCAGAGTGCGCGGAGCAGGGTGGTCGGTGCTGTCCGCCGCGGTGCATTCTCGGCATGCCGGGGCCCATCCGCGCAGGCAGTTGGTTAGCCAGCTCAGACGGGCCTCATCGCAGCTGGATCCCGGCGTGACCTCGGCGTGCGCCGAGCGGGAGCGGCGAGCGGGTGGATTTATGTGCTGGGAGCGGGGCCGGGCCGGCCGGGCGGCAGCGGCGGCGGGCGGGGCCGGCGCGGGCACCATGGTGAGCAGCGATTTGCGGGGCGCGGGTGCGCCCGCGTCCCTTGGCACAGGGCTGAGGTGCTGCAGGCCCCGGTCTATGGCTGCGGGGACAGCTCGGATTTGGGCGTGTGGGTGGCAAGGAGGCAGCGGAGTGATTGTAATTGGTGCTAACGAAGGGAACACCGCGGCGGCTGCTGCCTTCCGCGACCTTACACGACACTTACACAACCACTGCCCAGTGGTTGTTTCCTTATTTGGGAAGTAGAGTGAGCCACTGTACTTTGTGTTCTGTAAAGGGGTTAGGATCTCTCTTTATAAATGTACAGGATTCTTCTCCATTAGCTACCTGACAGGAGGATATAATGAGGTGGGGGCTGGTCTCTTCTACCGTGCCTGCAGTGAAATCCAGGGAAATGGCCTCAAACGGAGACACGGGATATTCTGATTAGATACTAGGAAAATAAAAATCAGTTTTAGGTGGGTAAGCATTGGAATAAGTTGCCTGGCGAGATTGTAGAGTCACCGTCCCTGGAAACGTTTAATAAATGTTTCAACCTGGCGCTGGGKGATAATTTATAGTGGTTCAGGGATTACAGTCGCAGTTCTGGGTTGACATTTGGCCTTGATGATCTTAAATTCTCTTCCAGCCTTGATTCTGTGAGTGACTGTCTTGTTGCCTCTCCTTAARTCCCTTGTGATGTAGCGTCTAAGTGGTCTCGGATATATTTAGAAGCATTTGCCAGACGCTTTGTTGTTCATTACCTCCAATTTCTTGGTGCTCTGACTCATGTTACAGAGGCCATGTGTGCTGTGGCAACACACGAGTGTTGTAATATCATAGACCATTTTGTTTTGGAAAGGACCTTATGAAAAAAAGTGCCACCTCAAATTGTTTTTCACAACGAGTGTTTCAGCACAACCACAGTTTATTGGGCTGAATGTAGTGCACAGTAAGTGACCTTGTAAGATAGTAGAAGAAGAATGAAGTTTGACTGGTGTAATTGCTGTGAATGATGTGACCTTGTTTCATATATGTTGCTTCAATGGACCAGGCTAATTATTTAATGAATATTAAATGTTATAAAGTTACCTCATTATGAAGATATGCTGAATTTTGTGTTTAAGTCTTAGATACTGTTTATAATACTGGAGTTGATTGAGTCAGCTTTTAACATACTTATATTTGAGATCCAAGAGCAGGGAGTGCAGGTATACATATTAATACACAATAATATATTTCTCTTTTATGTGATCGTATGACTGTAAGTGTCAATATGTCATTTTAACTATGACGCCAATGTTTGTTCATTGAACTATGTCTTGAGAAATGCACTTTACAGTTACATGTTTGGTAAAATCTGCCTTTTAACTGTTCTCATAAATGTAATCATTATTCCACTAAAGTACTTTTAAGATTTTGTCTTATGGAAGGAAATGTATTTTTTCTTTTTTCTTTTTTTTTCCCTTTTTTTGCCATAGGGGTTTGAATATTTAATCAAAAGGTCTTGAGATGCTCCTCTCATTTCTAGGAGTCCATGAGTGCTATGGTCTAGTATTGGAAGCTACATTTGGAAAATTACAAACAAACAAATCTTCCTTTCAGTGTAGGTGAAATTCCTTATTTAGTGAAAGTGCTTAGTTAAATTAATTGAGTGCTTGCTTGTGTTACCTAATGGTGTTGAAAGATCAAGTCCAGTTTTCTTGGGTGGGCGCTGGCAGTGTGGGCAAATGATCTTTCTGTGTGATTCCGTGATGTATGCAAAGGCAAAAGATGGTAGTCTGTTTCTATGGTGTTTGGAAGTTGTATTTTCCAGTTCTAAAGCAATAGGAGAATGAAATGTTTATCAGTTCCTTTTGTACCAAGAGGCTTATAAATCAAGTTATAAACATCAACTGCTGCCAAGCTGGGACTGTCAGGACTCATCTGTGCAGTTGCAATGCCAATCAGGCCATGACTAAACTCTGCACACGTGTCTTAATACTTTGTAAGGCCATGGTGTTTTAGGCGTTCAGCAAAGGCATTGAAGACTTTTCACTTTTTATACTTGGAATGATTCTTGTAATGGTAGAGCCTTCTCTTTAAAAAGCAAGTGCTCTAGAGTGGGAACTTCCATATTTCCTACTTGTGTCATTTGTGGAAGTATTGAGCAAACTAGATTTTTAAAATCTTAGAGTAGTAATAATGGAATATAACCTTTTTCCTTTGTGTAGTAGATAATTTATCTGAACTAGTTTTGATTTAGTTATAATTTAATAATATATTCCATAGATATTGGGGTTCACAACAATAGATATTCTGTATTGCCTTTTCAGTAATAATGATAAATCTGCATTTTTAGAAGTGCCCTTGTTCTGACCATGAGATTTCTGTAGSAATAACTTGATTTGTCTAATGACCCTTAGTTCTGTAATCTTAGTGCTTAGAGAGTTCAGTGTAAAAGAAGCCAGGCTGTCAGATGAAATGCAGTTCACTGACTGAAACTTAATTTTGGTTTTAGAGAAATCTCCTTGTTTCAAAGGGACTCATGTGTTGCTGAGTCTTTCCACTTAGCTGTTTATGGCTCTTCTTTGAGTCTGTGGAAAGACACTGGTCAAGAGAGAAGTGACTTTTGGGTGCAAAAACCTCAGTGAGGGTGAGCAATTGGGTAGTAGTCTTGAACTCCTTGTGTATTCTTCATGCCACTTTATGGATCTTTTGTTCGTCTCTGCTGTGTTGTAGATGGTGGTAGAAGCATGAAAATTCTAATTCAGTGAAGACTTGGTCACGAGAAGAGAAAAAAGTAAAAATCTGAAGTTTGAAGAATTCTCTTGGCATTAGATTTCTTTTCCAAAATTAGCTTTATGAATATTTGATTTTTACAAATCATAGGATTTGAACTGCCTTGTATTGCTGACTGTCATAAATACTATAGGTTTTTTATAAAAGTCGTCTTTTTCCCAGGAAGCATTCATTTTAAGATGTTGCACAGCAAGTTCACTTTTCTTTGGCCATCTCATGTAATACTTTCTACTGTTCAGGAAACAATTTTGAATTGCRTTTAGGTTTCAGGAGAGCACTGTCTTGCTTTTGCAAGCTGCATCTTTGGCTTGGACATATACATATGGAGAGAAATTTGCATATGGAGAAAAATTTATGTGTGGAAAAGTGTCATTTAACAGCAAAAGCAATAATGGGTCAGCTACTAAAAGGCATTTCAAAAGAGTTATTGGTTTAGCGTCAGGGCTTTACAAATACTGTTTTGAAATTGCAGGAGATAAGACTATTATATTCTACCAATCTTGGTGGACGCTACTTATACAATACCTTTTGCATTTCTTACTTGAAAATTCACAGCAGTGTTAGTATGTTTGTGTGCTGCCCCTGAAAGATGTTTTTATGCCCTGTATTAAATTTTTAGAATACTCAAGTGCAGTGGTATTACTATCTTATTTTTACAAGACTTGCCACTTTAGAAAGTAAGCAGTTGGCATTAAATTCCTGAAGGTGAAATGGTAAACGGGATTCTGTCGGCTCTTTTTCAGTCATGCAGCTGTGTTCCTACTGCAGTTCTGTTGTGTACAGCAATTGGCTTCACTTCATCTTGTAATGGAGGAGATGGTTATTGTTGAAGAACAGGTAGTTTCAAAGTCCTTTGTAAAGCTTGGTGTTTGAATTAGTTGTAATGTGTAGATAGGTGATAAAGGGAAGAAAAGATGGAAAACCCTGACCTTCTACTACAGGTAAGGAGGAATAACCTTGGGCAAGGTCATAATTAGGAGACTGGCGTGGTTTCTTTGCATGATACAGTCAACCTTGGCTATATTTGTATTTCATGTTCTATAAATCATTTAATCATGAAAAGACAAATGTCCTTTAGGTACTTGTAAAACTTTTTTTTTTTTTTAAACTCTGATAGTTGTTGTTGTTTTGTGAGTGCATTTAACGTGTAGATAAGAGTATTGTGATCTTATCTTAGTTACTTACTCTTAGGTGTTTTTTTTTTCTTCATAATCATCCATTCTGTCTCCAGGTATGTAATATAAAAAACTGTGAAAACCAAAGTCTAGGTTATGCTTTGTTCAACTTTATACTGTTGCCTTTTAACTTTTATACTGTTGCCATTTTTTTTTCCACTAATTTTAAGAAATCTGTCAATCTTCACTTTAATATAACTGCTAACASTACTGTTGTGGACCACTTAAGCGTTCTCTGCAATGTGGGTTGTTTTCATGTAAAGTGTGCTGGGTTTCACCAAGGTAAGAGTGCTATGCTTACTGGAGGATCTGGAAGTAATCAGATTGCTCAAGTCTTGAGACACCTCTCACCAAATATCTTCCTCAGTGGCAGAAACACAGCTGGACCGTAATTCATTAGACAGTGGTGTTGCTACATGGCTGTAGTATTTCCGTTTCCTACTAGCCTGTATTTTGCAGAGAAACTGACTTACCTAATAGTCTTTTCTTTAGTCCCCTTTCTTCCCGGCTTTAGAGAGATTAAAAGAAATGTCTCTGACCAACGGAATACTGAACTCTCTCTAGTGTCTTGAACTTAGATTTCAGATTCCAAGCTGCAAAGCTGAAGCATGATAGGATAATGGAGGTATGTGGAATCAGAGTGTTTAAGGCCTTACAAAATGGTTTAAATTCCATGAACTATTCTATAACTGCAGACACTTTATTTAATTGGTGCAGCAGTTCCTCATCTCTTCATAGGTGCGTAGTGCTTCTGTTAGTCTTGAGTCAACCGGATCACTGATTCTTTGCTAATTTCTTTACCACAGATCAGGTGGTGGGTTCCAGGATTTGTTTACTGGGGGCCCTCAAAACCCCCTGTGGTGTGGGCTTTGCCATACCACATCTTCTCCCTCAGGCACATATCATACTTCATTTCTTATACTCTGGAGTTTTAAAGTTGTAGATTTCTGAGTAAAATCTAAACCATGTGTCCTCTAATTTATACTGTGCAAGTAGAGGATGTAAAATGTTGGCGGAAACCAACACCTAGTCTCAGTCAATGTTTTTGAAATGAGTGGTTTTGAATTTAAACTGATATTAGTGTAAAGGGAAGACTTAGAGTATAGAGGAGACTGGATTTAGACAGAGTCTCAATTGATTTGGGGATGGAGGGAAAATGTGTTCTGGTGTTGTGATATGGGGTAGTTTGGGTGTTGTAGATTTTTCTGGAGTGAGTAAACATGCAAGTGGAGTGTACCCAAGTCCAGGCAAAAGGGTAGAGTTCGCAAAACATTGTGCATGTAGCATGTTGATTTGGTTCACCATATCACCTACTGTATTCCTGTGATTTGTGTTCTTGGCAGATTGCGGAAAGATTAATGCAGTGGATTTTTAGAAATTTCATGTGACAGCTTTATTAACATATTGCTTGTGATTATTGTGATATTAACATATTGATTACTGACCTTCAGGAATTGAGAAAAATACCCATTTAGGGCATATATATCCATTTTTTAATTGCTTGTAGTATGAAAAATACCTAAAGAGTATTTCCACCACAAAATCAAATTTAAATTTAAGTTTAGAGATACCATTGGTGTTTTAGGTTTGGAGGTTTTTTTATGTGTCTTAAAACTCACTGGGTTATTTTCATTTGTACACTGAAATGTTTGTAGGTATTTTTACTTTTAACATACAGCAGTGACTTTATGGGAATCAGCACTATGAATTTCTGCCAGAAAGGGGTAGACGGGGTACAGAAAGGCGTTCACTGGCTAAGAGAAATATTTTCTAATGTGTTCTGGTACAACTTGCAGCCTTTGCTTGAGTAAGGAAATGAATGTCTGTTGGTGAACTTTTAAGTAGTCTCTTGGATTGGAAGGATTTTAGCTCTCCTAGTGGGCCTACTGCCCTGTATAAAAATAACTGCCTCGATTTGCATCTTTTTCCCTCCTGTTTTCTTGAGTTAAGGCAAGATTCCCTTACAGATAGGAAGCTCTAGGAGCAGTTGAAGAGACATATTGGCACCTGATTAGGCTGTGCTCCTAATAAAAATACTATCCTTGAGAAGGATTAATGTCACTTTACTCTGAGAGGGTGAATTCTGAGGATCGTGGCTTAGTGGAGAGGCTAGATGAAGGGGCAGTCATTTCTCTCTTACATTGGGTGGAAGTGGTTAGGCTTAGAGTGAGGTGGTCAGAATAAACATCTGATTTTAAAATACGTGATTTATTTTGTACTTGAAGAGTATATACTTTCTTAGCAATTTATTAATTTAAGTATAGCATATATATTATGCATGCAGCTTGTAACATTTTCCTTCATTATAAGTACACTTCCCTTAGCTAGGGAATGGGTGGAATTGGTTTTTTATGCACAGAACCATGCATAATCCTTAAAAAAGGTAGTGTGTTCAAATACGTACAGCTCTCAGTCCTGATCTTGATTCTGATCTCAGTGACACGGAACATGAACATAAGGGAGGTCTTACTTTCTGAGGCACCTCAAGGAGTTAATGCACACCAAAGGCGGCGGAAGGCAAAGAGAGTCCTGAGCACTGAAGAAATTTAATGGTCTGTGACCCCCTCCTAAGGTGTTGCTTCAAAGTATGAAAAAGTTGACAAGTTTTTGTGAGATGTGTGGTAACATGTTGAAAGTGTTTATAAATTCTTAAAAGACAATTTGTGTTATCTTGATCTCCTTCAAGCATGTTGTATTACTGGTGATAGTGTATATCTGTAACTACTTTAATCTGCCTGTGTTGTTTTGTTGTTTTTTTTTTTTTTAATAAAAGCATTATTGACAGTTCCTGTATTATAAAAAAAGGAGACAGCATTGAAGGGAGAAAAGAGCAGAACTTCCCTTACTGCAGTATTTAAGATGAAAGGTAGTACTACCGAGAGGGAGGGGGAAGGTTGATGAAGAGTTGTACATTAACAGCTTTTTGCATATATAACAGCAGGTGTTGATAGCATGAATTTGGCTTGTATGACCATAGGACTCACTCCTGAGGTGCAACAACTGCTAGGAAGGGACAGTATCCATCTGGCCAAGTGGGACAAGCACCTCTTTGCTGATGACCTGGCCAGATTGGTATTTAGACTAGGACTTAAAGAGGACATAGGTAATGACTCACAGATCAACAGGAAAAAGTGGTGGACTGAGCTGGTAAGCAAAAGATGAGCGGGATGTGGAGAGTATTCCTTGAAGACATTTAATCAGAGAAGCTAGAAACCCACACGTTAGTAAACACAAAGAAGAAATATTTGTACCTAGATAATGAGGGCAGCATTATGAGGGGGAAGATCTTAGACCTCTTCAGGAAAATTAAATGTGGTGACAGGGGAAGTTTGTGATTGTAGCAAGTTTCAGGGGATTTTTTTTGTTTGAAAACCACTGCAGAAGTCTGATACCATCCCCCTCCCCAATTCCTCCTCAGTTATGTTATGCCTYTTATACGAGTATTACGAAATTTATTTTTTAAAAAAGATACTTCATAATTTTTCTAAAACACATACTGACTTGTTATTAATTTACTTCACAGGGTGTGATAGGTATACAGTTGGTGGTTACCATGGTAATGGCTAGTGTCATACAGAAGATCATACCTCACTATTCTCTTGCTCGTTGGCTTCTCTGTAGTGGCAGGTAAGATAAGAAACAATTGCTGTAGTGTGTGAATATGGTCATGCAATTGTGCATCGGAGTAGTAACAGTAAACATACTAATTTAGTTAGGTTTTTTAAAAAATAATTGAGTTAGTAAATTTATTACCACAGCATTGTGACTCATAATTTGCAGGCTCAAGGTAAAAAGACACTGTTGCTGTAAAAGAACATGCTTGTTTGTTGCTATTAATTGTATCAGTCATAAAATTAACTGTTGTTCAGCTCCTATATTAAAGGTACAAGGTAGATCCTTTAATATTAAAAAGCTAATTTAGTTACAAGATACTGGAGAATAAAAGAATTTTTTTTCCTCTGTACTGTTTCTATGTTGTTGATAATCCACCTCCTGATTAGCCTTGCATATGGTTAGGTATTAATTAAAAATTCTATTTTTTTAAATACTTCATAGAGCAGGATTAGTATAAGTTTCTGTATACTATTTCCTCATAACAACAGATCAGACAGACTTAATGAGTTGCAAGGGGAGCATTTGCTGTGTGGCTGTATCCATAATAACAATGGAAAAGAGCAGCTGTTTTGAATCTAAATCAATATGTTAAATATTTAAAAGATCATAGTCACTGTGTTTTTTTTTCATTTGGTAAGAGGAGCACTTTGTATGATTAGAATGTAGTGTGCTGTTTTTTGTAATTGTTAAAATTTTGAGAATATCAAATCCTTACTTCCTGATTTCTGAAGGAGTATCCTTTTTAATAGTCCTATGGAGGGCATTATTGTTCAAGTCTTTCCATTGACTTTTTTCCTCTGCATCTCATCAGCTTGTTCTTTTTTAATCACCCAAATTGCTAATTAGAAGTGACTGTAAATGTTGTTTAGAAGTGTGTGAGGTATAACAGAAAACAGTGATTGTTAGGTAGATAACACAAACAGTAATCATACTCTTAATTGTTGTGTGAAGTTTCACTGTTGACCGTATTGGCAGGGTGTTGATCATGTTTCTTGTGCTCTAAAAAGAACATTACATTAGTGAATATGAAACTGCCTACCATACATTTTTAAGGTATACTGCCACAAGAGTATTTTTATCAGCAGTTATCCAAATGACCCGTTGAACTTTTTGTGTTGTATTTAAAAGATTGATTTAAACTTTTATTTGAAAATTTAAATCTCTAATTGCTCTTCTGAAATAGTTTCTCAGTATTATGACCATGTTCTTCAATCTTGTGGAGTTTGCACTCAATGTACCCTTGTTTAAAGGCATGCCATATCCCAGTGATAGGCAGAACTTTATTGTTCAAATATTTTTAAAATCTATTTCTCTGTTTATCTTTGTGTATCTGGAGATTGATAAATACCTAAAGCAGGATTTCAGCACTTGTGCTTAGGTAAATCTGCTCCTACTGAAGTCAATGGGAGTCTTATTGCCTTGCATGTTAATAGCTGGAAAATCTCATTGTTGATTTTCAGTATTCTTTTATTTAGCTGATAAGTATTTTAGTGCATTGTAATTTCAGGCACTCTGAATAATCCCCTGTATACAGTAATTGCATAAAGAGTCAGAAATAATGCTGTGTTCCAGAAATAAAAACAAATCAGAAGCTTCACTGCAACAAAAAACTAAATTTTAATGGCAGAAAGAAAAGCAGTTATTTTCTTAGTTAACTTGACAAACTGTATTTTATCTTTAACCCTTTTTTTTCTTAGTGCTGTGTTTTTGCCAGTGGTATTTTCTTTTGACAGATCTGTGTAGGTGAGGTGGTAGAGGGTTTTATACCTAAGTGTCCTGGTACAGGCACACTCCTAAGCAGTCCAGCTGTCTTGAGAAAAATTATCACCTGTTCTTCTTTTCTTTTGTTAAAGGACTTCAATAGTCTTTGGTACCCAACAGTTGTTTTTAAGTGATTTGTTTTGAATGTTTTGTTTCCAGAGGACTGGCAGGCTTTTCAAAGCAAGATACTCTATAGATAGCCCTTGCTGAATGGGAGGGAGTATAAACATCAGATAAGACAGACCAGTTTGTTTCAAGATGCCTGTATGTGTTTTTGGAAAGTCTGTTAAAAGAAAACATGGACTTTTTAAAATCCAGAAGAATTCTTAGGATAGATAGACTTAAGGTAATTACTTGTTAGTAGAATACACTGGTATCATTGACTCTTGGAAAGCTATTTACATAAACTTGTTAAGTAATAAAAACTGTTTCAATCAGTGCTATTTTCAAATCTTGAATGTAACTAAATATATTTACTGAAAGAATGGGCAGCCTAAATATCTACATAGGCCTTGCATTTTTTTTTCTGATTAAACATTCTCTGCCAAAATGTTGCTTTTTAGTCACTCAGCTATTTAAGTTACTATATTTTCAAGCCATGTCAGGAAGACAGGAGAAAATGGATGATTTGTTGTGCATTCATTAATGACCTTCATTCAAACTAACTAGGTCATGTCTCTATGAGTGTTGCTTTTCAGGCTGACTTGCTTATGTCAAGGTCACAGGGTAATCAGTTGTGGGATTTAAGTTTTAAACATACTTAAGCTGAAACACATGTAAACTACTTTTTATTAGCTCTATCTTTATGAAAATGTTTATGAAAATATCTTAGAGGTTTTAATGCAAGGTGTTTGTAGAGTTTATCAACTACAAGATACTGAAATTCTTTATCCTATTAGTTGTAATTAGCTATCACTTGCAACATAGTTCTGTAATACAATTAAGAGCAAATTTTGGGTTAATTCGTGGTTTGATTTGTATTAGCATGCTACACAGAATAATAATTTTGTCTATTTTGCTGCATTAGGCACTTTGTTGGTGTACAAGCATTTCTTTACAGCATATGTGCCTTTTATTATTAGCATCCTAAGTTCAGATCAGGATGATGGTAAAAGACAAAACAGGAGAATATATCTCTGCTTCATCCCACTTGCTTTGGGTCATGTGAAAGATAGAAGTTAACATCTCTAGTGTAGTTTGACTTCTTGGATGAAAAAGTTGTTTCTCTGTTTTATGTGTGTCTCAGTCTTAAAAGTTTCTTAAAAGTTGCAGCATAGTTTGCAAATCGCATATTCTTAACTGGGCCACACATAATACAAGTAAATAAATGAAATAGCTTTCACTCTCACTTACACTAAATCCAGTTCCTTTTTTCTCTTCAAAAACTATTCATGCAAAATCTGTAATATTTGCTGTTTTCAGTTTTAGAACTGGCAAATAATTCCTTCAAGGGAAATTTGCAGTGTGCAATGTTTTGATGTTTTGTTGACTCTTTTCTTTTGAAGAGATCCCAAACTCTTCCTTTGCAATTAAGCCTTCATAAAATAGAGCTGAGAATCAAGTGTTATCAAATGGCTTGAGATTGTTTGGGTTTTGATGCCTTCCAAATCTGCCTTACTAACTCTTTGAAATTGACATAATCTCTAATTCACCAATATGGATTTGAATGATCCTGCTTGGTGAAGTTTTCTTAATATGAAGTGGTGTTTRTGGATTTCTTTAGCATCTCTATCTTGACCTGTGTCACCATGGCTGACAATTAGTGGCCCTCTACTTCCACATACATTTCTCAAGTCTATTCCTGTTAATACTTGGTCTCCTTCACCTCAGCATTTCAGAGTGGAAATCAGAGTGATMTCCTTCCTGGATCCAGACAGTAGCCATCCCTTGTTGAATGTGGAAAAGGCCTTGTTTCAGCTAATGAAATTTTTGCCATTCTTAGAGATTTAGGTAAAATGTACCATTTTAGGCATTTAATTATCTCTGTTTGTCCTCTTCAGAACATCCATGCCACTTCTTGCCGTTTAAATAAAATAGCAATCAATGGTGCATTAATTTGTGAAAGTGGAAAAACTTGTAGGTCAACTACATTTAAATTAGTGATTTTTTTTAATAGTGCTTTTTCTAGTAGGAGTTGAAGATGTCACTGAGGAGTTGTTTAAGGAAAGAAATGATGTTACAATTTAGTTGGGTTCTAAAAAAAGATTGGTAGTGATTACTAGATAATRCTTCAGATTCTGGAAAATTGCTGGTTGTGGGGAGATATAATTATACTTTATAAAATTGTTTAGAATATGGTTCTGATGATTAATTGTAATGGTATCATTATTCTAGTGAAATTGTCCACTTTGTACAACTGCATTTGCTGTATTTGGTGGTAACTTTGAAAGCTGTTGTTTTGAAAACTGAAGGTCTTTCATGTGAATAAGAAAAGTGGTAAAGCTTTCTAATTATGTATAAAGGCCTCATACTGAAGAGAAGTTTACCTGTAGTTCAGTTCAGGCACGGTTGGTACTGGCACATAGAGGTGTTGTGCTTAAGAGTGGCAAATGACAGGTGTCTTAGTACACATAAATCTGTGTTGTGAAATAGTTTTTTAAAAGTTATGCTGTAAATTGCTAATAATGTCTTACTTGAAATTTTCTTTTTCTTTAGCTTACGGTGGTATCAGCATCCCACTGAAGAAGAACTACGGATTCTTGCAGGGAAGCAAAGAGGGAAGAGTAAAAAAGATAGGTAAATCCTTGTTTTAAGGTTTTCTTCCCCCTTCTTTTGTTTTTGGTTTTTTGTTTTTTTTTTCAGCATGATATGGTTCATCTAACAACTTTGCCAACCAACATTTGTCATAGTATGGGTTAAAAACTTCTAGTTGCGTATGACTGCCCTGCTTTCATTAATTGTCACAGTTCTTTACTAAAATGTGTTCTTTCAGTTTAACWGAGTTGAGCATTCCCGAGTTGTGCAGAAATTATTTATTTCCATCCACAAAATGTCKGTGAAATGCTAATTTGGTGGCAAGGGTTTTGTTTTTTTTTAGTGAATGTATTCATTTAGATAAAAACGGAATAAAATAAATCTTAGGATTGTAGCTCTTCATCTTGAAGCAAGAGAAGAAAGATTTGAGTACAATAGTTCACCATAGGATTATTATGAGCAGCCACTCTTAGCACAGCTGCGAAAAARGTAAAGTGGGCTCTTAGGAAGGATTATGTGAAATATTTCTAGTGAAGAAAGAGTGCCATATTATTCCTCTTGGACAAGATGCCAGTGTAGAACTTTATCTGGATTCCTGTGTACAGTTCTGACCATTTGTGTGCAAGAAAAACTAATTTTGTATATAAACAGGTGAACAGAGTTGCTAGGATCAACCAGGAAACAAAGTCTACCTTACTAAGAGGGGCTAAAAGAGCTAGTCTTGTTGAACCTGTCAAAAAGACACCTGGGAGGATAGAGTAACTGTCTACCAGCTTAAGCTGAAACAGATTTCTGGTGTTCAAACATGAAGTTCTGATCAGCCTTACCAGAAGTACAGCTTCATCAAGAGTGGAGACATCTTGAGGTGCTGGAGCTGGCCATGTTGAAATATTTCTAAATCAGCTGTATTTTAAAAAAACCAGCCCGCTCTGGCTTTCTTTTTGGTAGCACAGGAGATTTGTTTTACCCGTTTCTTCTATCCCAGTATGAGCTCTCTTATAAATCTTAAGATTCAAATTAGTACATGTTTGTGTACTAATACAACTGCTCATATATAATTGTAATGTAATATTTTCCTACTGTGTCCTAGCTCTTAAGCAACATGGTTAGCAATCTTATTTGCCTCTGTGATTCTCAGTTAGGTTGGAAAAGACTTCTGAGATTATGTTGCCCAACCTTTGATCACTACCATGTTCATTAGAACTAAGGGCCACATCCAGTCATTTCTTGAAGACCTTCAGGGGTGGTGACTCCACTGCCTCCCTAGGCAGCCATACCAATTCCATGAAAAATCTCCTGTTGAGATCCATCCTGAACCTCCCCTGGCACAACTTGAAGCTGTGATCTCTTTTCCATCACTAGTTACCTTGAGAAGAGACCAACCCCTGCCTGGCTATCAGCCTTCTTTCAGGTAGTTGTAGAGAACAAGGTTTCCTGCGAGCCTCCTTTTCTCCAGCCAGAGCCACCTAGCTCCTTCAGCCTCTCCGCATCAAACTTGTAGTCCAGATTGTTCCCAGTTCCACGGCCCTTCTCCATACTCGCTGAAGCACCTCAATGTCTTTTGGATTGTGAAGGGCCCAAAACTGAACAAGGGCTTCTAGATGGGACTTCAGCAGTCCTGATTATGGGGGGACAGTCACTGTCCTGGTCCTGCTGCCCATGCTACTGCTGACCCAAGCCAGTCTACCATTGGACTTCTTGCCCCCAGGCCCATGCTGGCTTGTGTTCAGCCACTGTTGACCAGCACTCCCAGATCCTCTTCTGCTGGGCTGTTCTCAAGTGGCTGCCCCAGCCTGTAGCACTGCTTGGAGTTGTTGTACCTCAGTATAGGACCCAGCACTTGGTCATGTTGAACCTGACACCATTGATGTTGGCCCATTAATCCAGCTTGTCCAGACTCTGCAGAGCCTTCTGGTCTCCAGTAGATCAACTGTTCCCACCCAAATAAAGTGTTTGCAGATTTACTGAAGGTGCCCTCGATCCCCTTGTCCAGATGATCTGCAGAGATCTTGAGCAGGACTGAGCCCAATACTAAGCCTTGTGGAGCAAAGTCAGTGACCGGCTGCCAAGTGGATGTACCATCATTTGCTGCCTTTCTCCGAGTTAAATAGTTCTAAGTAAAGCAGTAATTTTTTTTTTTATTCAACGTTCCTTAAAATTAAGAATCTCTTTTTATCTTRACAGTTTTCTGTAACAAAACAGTTGTGAATAACATCACAGTTTATTGCTATCCATTTAACCMGTGATATTTATTCATATGTAAAATAATTTTAATTATGTAATTAGAAGTTTAAGTCCCCCCCATAGGAGCCTTAAACTGAAAAAAAAACCACAATTACACTGCCAAATAATAATTGTATTCTGGTCTTATTGACTTTCCTCAGCCTCACCAGTCTTTTGCAATAGTAGTAGTAGGTGATTGTACAAGGCTAAATKTTAATCACAGGGAAATATAAAACCTCAAGAAACTGAAGCAGTAATGTGGATGCTTAAATGATATTTTATTTGCTTTGCTCGTTTAACAGCGGAATTAATAATACCGTTTTTTTTTTAATGAATATACACACCTCTGTGTCCTTGAAAGAGGCAACTTGTTCAGGAAGAACCATAGTTAAGTGGGCATTGTTCCTGTTGAGTTGCTTTGATTTACTGTTTTAAATTGCACATAATGGAATGCACATCTTGCGAGTTATCTCAACAAGAAGATGTGAAACAGTTGTGGGAGAAATAAAGACGCATCTGTTTTATACTGTCCATGTCTTTTCATGAAGAATCCGCTTTGTCAAGCCCATAGTCTTGCAAAGTGTAATACCTGCTTCTTACTTAAATACACTCACAGTCTGAACTAATTAAAAGAGAAATGATGAAAGGAGGTACAAGGAGCTTGCTTGAAAATTAGCCTTAGAAACAGCTATAGTGTGAAATTTTAGTTAATTCACTGCATGTTGAACCTCAGTATATTATGCTATAGGTTTTAATAGCACATGAATATTATTTAATAGCACATGAAGGTTTTCTGCTTCAGAATAGTTCAGTAATAGTATTCTATTACATTGTAAGACTAATGAAAAGATCCGTAGCTACTGTCATTTACTTTAAATTAAAGCATTCAATAATCTTGGGTATGTTCTGTCAATGCCTCTTGGATTGTGAGGCCCCTGGGATAATTAAAATGTAGGAACACCAAGTTTTATTGATCTCAAATGAGATCAGTGATCAAAATACTCGTCTTACTCAAGATGGAGTTGTACTCCTGGATACAAGCAGTAGGAAAATAATCATGAGTAAGCTGGGGGCAGGGAAGTACACAGGAGCTTGCAAGTAGTCAAATCAGTGGGCAGTGTTTGGGGCTTCATATGTATATTTACGCAACTCAAGAATTTTTTGAGTAATTCTTTAGATGCCTATCCTCAGTTTGTGCATTAAAATTATTTTAGTTATACTAAGCATTAATATAACCTGAAAAAAATTATTAATGCCTTTTGCTTGTATTTTCATCTTGCATATAAGCTAAGATGAAAATTCCTGAAAACTAAGTTCCTGATTGATTGGATTTCTTTTTAATGCTTGTATCCCAGTAATTCATTTCTCTATGGAAAATCCACCACTCCTTTTCTAATTTCAGAGGTGGTGTTCTCAAATGTGGCATTTATTGTTTTCTTCTAGCCATTTAGAGTTTAATTCTTTTAATCTAACAAATCATCTGATCTGCTTTAATGTGTTTCCTTTTTTTTAAATAGTGGGAAAGTTAAGTTTTACCTTAGTTAGTAATGCTGCTCTACCAGACTAAATTCATGTAACAGTGTTCATGTTCTTTTAATGGGGTGCTGTTTTTTTTTTTATTTGAAGTCTACTAATGTGACTTAATTTCTGGGAAGTGAAGATCATGATATTGGTATGGTTTGAGAGCTCCAGGTGAAAACCATCTTTTGTTTTAAATACATACCTTTTTGGATTAGAAAGATACCTTAAAAATACCTTTGCTTGATGGCTAGTAGGTTGGACCTTTAAAGGATCTAGAGTAGTCCAGCTCATGATGTACTTGCTTTTTGTGACAAGAAGGACTAATGTGAGGTTGTTTTTTCTTTTTTTGACCCTGGGAACACACAGCTCTGATTAGTGATAATCAGTGGGCTGAAATAAATACTGTCCCCTGGATCTTGACCCGATGCATGCTTGGARTAAAGCACCTGGAGGCCATTTAAACCAATACCACAGTAGTATGTCAGAATCTGTCAAGTTATATGTGGGAGCTATTGACATACCTGGTTATTTCTCAAGATTTGAACTTGAAATAGTACTTTACGCCAGGTGCATAAAAAATACTTGTATTTGGAAAAAAACAGTTTGTATTTTCTGTGAATTTGAAATGTCATTATATATTGAAAAAGTTTATTTTGTCATACCCATGCTTGTATTATTTATTTTCTTTTACTTTACAGAAAATATAATGGTCATATTGAAAACAAACCCTTAACCATTCCAAAAGATATTGACCTGCATCTGGAAACAAAATCAGTAACAGAAAGGGACACTATTGGTAAGCGTAACTGTGTGCAAACAATAATATATTATTTCTAATGCATCCTGATATTTCTTTCCAGTGTTTATTTGTGATTAATGCTGAAATATCCTTTTTTGTAGACAATGAAGAGAAGTAGAACTGTTCATAAAGCAGGTAGTAAAGGGCTAAATCTCCTTTTGTGTTCCAGGGGTGACATGTTAGTAGGAGTGTTGTGGAAAGGAATGAGTAGTGAAATCCAGCATAAATCATGTCTATTGTATCAGGCTTCCATAGCAATATGAGACCACATCAAAAAAATAACATTGTAGCCTATTAAATATGAAGTTTGTAGATTTGTACAAGAAAGTAACAATTAGCAGATGTCAAGCCATGCACTTTCTGCTCATCTAAAATAGGAAATGTGCTGTAGCATTGGAACTAAGGCCTTTCAACCACCCATCTGAAACATTCAGGTAAAATGCTTAAAAACAGCAAGTGACAATACAGAAATGTGCAGCATTAAGTATTTTGGAAGTTACTTTTTCTTTTAGATGGTAATTGTCGATTACTTAATCATAATCAGTCATTCTGTTACAGAAAATTCATGTATGGGTACTTGTGATACATATTTTCTCTAGTTTTTTACATTTATCTGCTCTCTGGATAAGTATAGAAAGAAAGGATGCAGAGCCCTATGCAGGAGACTTCTCAGCTTAAGTTATGGAAGACAATGTTARTGTAACAAATGAAATTTTTGAAGATCGGACATGAATCAACAAAGCATTCACAGGTTTCAATTAGTGTTATTTCCTCAAAATTATAGCACTTAATTGTCAATCTGAGTGATACTGGATAGGGTTTGACTGTGTTTGAAAAGTTGTATATACAATTTTTGGGTGAATCTAACCAGATGATTATGTCAGTATAAGTATAGGACTTGGAAATACAAAGTTTGCCCAGTTTCATATCTTTGCCAAGAGGTAGCTTGTAGTCAAGTTAGATTTTCAAGTAATGTTTTCAAATTGTGTAAGTGTAGAGAAGGTGTTTGGTAGGGACAGGTTATACCGTGTTGTCACAAATTGTTCTTTGCAGTTTCCAACAGCTGTGGGAACTTTCTCCATAACATCCAACCTGTGCGCAACATACTACGATCCCCAGAATTTTTACCGTGAAGTTTACACAAGGGTTACTGCTTTATAGGATGTATTAAAATCTCAAAGAACAATCCGATCTTAGATGGTGGGCTTTTTAAAATAAAGTATTTATTTGTAATATAATAAGTGATAGCCAGTGAGCTTTTAATCTTTACCAAAGGGTCAAAAAATGCCTCTCACTGGGAATTGCAGCTAGACTCAACTGGAAAACTGTTTACTTCTGTGTTATGAAATATAATTTAAGTGTGCTTGTTGTTTTAGGATGTTAATGTATAAAAATTGAGGTAATAAAATAGTAAGAGCTCATAGCCTTATGAATTTGAGTAGTAACATTGAAAGACGTAAGTGAAGAATGRAGCTCAAATTGTTGAGTGACTTTTCTTGTTGTGCATTTCACTTGATGTGAGTCTACCTAAACTTCATTTTAATACACAGTTGAAAACCGCTGTTCATTGCTACTCCAGTCTATATATATCAGTAACTGCCTTATGTTGTGGTTTGAGCTAATTTAATGGGGGGCAAACACTGCCGAGTTCCAGCAAGCCCCCTCCCTTCCACACCCAAGTTCTAGAAACAAACTTTTTCCACCGAGAGGAAAGTGAAAAGAAAAAGGGAAAAAAAGACCCCACTATTTATTGCCCACAAGGTACAAAGAAGAGAGGGGGGAAAAAATTATGTTATAGAACAAAGAACCTGTGGAACCAGCTGTTGAATCTCAAAGTATTTTCTTTCTTCCTGGGAGTGGCTTCCCTTCCGGGGGTCCCCAGAGGGGTTGGACAGTCGCCCCGGTGGTTCACTGGAGGATTTTTTTTTTTTTTCCTTGCCTGTTGTGCCACGGGAATCTTCTAATTCTCAGATGATGAAAAAAGGTCGAAAAAAACCAAGTCTTAAGAAGAAGGAAAAAGAGCAGTCCCAGAGAGCAGCTTCCTCCTCCCCACTCCACCATAGTCACCCACTCCAGGAATGTGTGTGACTTGTACCTCTCCCTCCCACTGTCCTTGAAGGGAGGAACACCACAAAATAAACCAGAACAGTCTCAACTGATGTTTACAGAAGGGTTGTTTGTCTTTCCTCTGTCATAAGCAGATGGTAGGAATACAAATACTCAGCTACACCAGGACACCTTAAAACATACCTTTAACATTCACAAACTTTTATTTTTCAGCATTGCATTACTTTCCAGAATATCAGTGGTTAGTGGATTTTACTGTTGCTGCTACAGTTGTGTATGTGGTGACAGAAGCCTATTACAGCATCGTGAAGCCCTCACAAGAAATGAATATCAGCATAGTGTGGTGTCTGCTTGTGTTGACTTTTGCAGTGTATCCTTTTCAGTTTTCTTGAATCCCTCTACCTGTTCCAAATAGTTTACATCATTCTGCAATTCATATAAATCTCTCCGCTGTTGATGAGCAGGATACACAAATATTTYGCATTTGAAAAAGGGTCGTGTGAGCTAATGCTATGTTGGATAATGTATATGCTTTGTGTGCTATTTGTAAATGCTGATGTCGGTAGCTTGTTAACATTAATACGAAACCATTTATGGTAAATTACATGTATGTGAATRTACAGTTAGTGCTCATCTGTGGTATGTGTGGTTCTAAACTAACTTGGTTTTGCTCAGTTTGGCAATCAGAAATAGCTTTGTGTACAGAAAGTATAGCTTTTAGAGGACTTTGGAGATTTATTGCCCATATTTTGTTTTCAGTATGTTTAATCTGATACTTCCTGAACAGGATGGTACTGTGTTATACTAGTTTATTGCAATAATACATACATTAATTTATTACTTTAATATACATTCAAGGCATTTCAATACAATTCAATACAGTACAGAAAATAAGATATGTCAACTGCTGTAAGAGCTGAGGTGGTGTGTCGTCAATGCTCTGTGGAAAGCTAAACTGGCCTCTGAAGCTGAGGTAAAGTGGAGTATTTAGAAACAGGTTGTATCAAACCATAAAATGTTTGTTTTGTTGTGGAGAATGCTGTTCATTTGCTTTATTTTTTACTGGAGAAGGCAGTATCAGACACATGCTTGCTGCATCTGTCTGATGCATACTGCTTTCCACATATCAATTCAGACACATGCTTTAGGAAGGAAATTTGTGTTTTAAAGATATGAAAGGGAATAAAGCAGTAGATTTGAATACGGGCTTGCAAGAATGCATATTATGGAAAGGTGAACTGGAAAGGGAGTTGCTACAGATCTTCTGTTCCCTCAGCAGGTGAGAATGGATAAAGTGGTAAGTTACAGACAATAAACCACTTCAATATTCAAAATTGTTTACTCTATATAAATGCTTGTTCTTCRTTAGAGGTTCTTCATTTGTTGTGGTTTGTTCAGTTGGTTTGTAATACTAGCAGTGGCTGGTAGTGTTATATAAAACCTTGAACTCTAATGGTTAGTTACACTTGGCGAAGAATTCTGAATATGCTTAATGCTTGTCTGCCCTTGATAATTAAAATGTGTGCTGCCTTTAGGAGAACGGGAAATCTTTTCTTAAGTAGCCTGAAGTATAAATGATAATTTTTTTTCAGAATTTTTACTTGTGGTGTGTAAAAATTTGCTTGAAGAGAGAGTTAACTCACATTGGGAACTGAGTGTCAGTAGCTTACTTCCAGAACAGGTATTTCTCCTTTGACTTGTCAGTGAGCAGATCCTTGGTCCAAAAGGTGCTTTTTCCTGTCTGTAAGTAGTGACAAGAGAATTGGTGTCCACCTCTTATATTATAGCTATAGTATAGCTAATATGTAGTTGTTACTGCACATCCTTTGTTTTATTTTTTGGTGTGAAGTTAAGAATTCGAGTTTAATCTATGCAGAAGAAAGAAGATTCAATGATAATTGAAGTTTTAGAAAAATTTTGTTGGCTCCTTATTTTTGACAGAAAGCAATCAACATGATATGTCAGTGTTCAATATAGACCAATTTTGTGTTTGCTGCCAAGTGTTTCTTCTGTTTTATGCCTGTGCATTAAGAGGTGATGAGTTAGTTGTACTAAGGATACAAAGCAAGTTTGCAGATGATAGAAAACTGGGCAGTGACTCCCTCAAAGGGAGGTGGCCCTTCAGAGAACCCTTAGCAAATTAGAGGACTGGGCCATCACCAACCATAAGAATTTCAGCAAGTGTCAGTGCTGGATTCTGCACCTGGGATAGGGCATCCCTGGCTGTATGGATGGACAGGCTGGAGAACAGGAGTCTGAAAAGCAGTGCCTTGGAAAAAGATGGGGGGCTGCTGATTGATAGAAAGTTTAATGTGAGTCAGCAGTGCCCTGGCAGCAATGGAGGCCCAACTGGCCCATCATCACTAGCTGGGCAAGGGCAGGGATTGTCCTGCACTAAGACAAACATTCAGCTATTAGAGAGTATCTAAAGGAAGCCATGATGAGGGATCCGGAGAGGAAGCCGTATGAGGAGTGGCTGAGTTCACTTGGTCTATTCAGCCTGAGAAGAGACTGAGGGGAGACCTTAGCACAGTCTGGAACTTCCTGGTGGAAGGCAAAGAGAGGCTGGCACTGATCTCTTATGAGGGGAAGAAGAGGGGCAGGCACTGATTTCGTCTCTGTAGTGCCCAATGGCAGGGCTCAAGTAAATAGTGTGAAGTTGACTCAGGGGAGGTTTAGGTTTGTGGTGGTGCATTCCCCCTGCCCTCCTCCTTTTCCAGGCTGCAATGTGATCACCTGGAAACACCACCTGGTTTTGGGCAATCTCAAGCACACTCATTTGTGACAAGGTTGGATATCAGGGCAAGGTTTTTGACCCACAGGGTGTTTGGGCACTGGAACAGGCTCCACAGGGAAGTGCTCACATCACCAAGCCTGACAAAGTTCAGGAAGCAGCTGGACAATGGTGTCAGGCACATAGTGTGATTCTTAGGGATGGTGCTGTGCAGGCTCAGGAGCTGCATGATATTATGGGTCATGTCCAGCTCTGAATATTCTGTGTTTCTGTGAATTTACAATTTTCATGTGTTTTGGTAAGAACAGGACATGGATCTTTTTCACTTCAACCTTATGTACTATAAAATTCAAGATTTCTGTAATCACAGTCATTTTAAAAATAAAATAATTTTGTAAAAGAGTGTAGTTTCTACAGTGGCTGCAAATATATACAATATGCAAAGTACACAATTCTGTAGTGCCTCTTGTAGCCAAAAAAAAAACCTGAGGAGGGGGGATGTGGGCAATCCATTAATTTAGCACTGAATACTCCCAAATTAGTCCTTCAGTAGGTCTTGAATATTAGGTCATGCAGTGAAAGGAAGTGATGAAGCAAGCCATAGTACTTCCATTTTCTCCAACACAAAAATAGAAGTTGTGGTGATTATTTAACTAATAGAGGGTTTCAGTTGTATGTAGTTTGCGTATTAATTAATTTATTTTTGAGTTCTGAATCTGCACTATCATTGGGATGTATTGTTAGTATGCTTTCTTTTTCCTTGTTTCCAGATCCTTCAGGCACAATCCATAGCTGAAGTCTTAAAGTATCTAGGGSGTTATAAATCTGGTTATAGGTTACAACTGTTGGTCATCAACTGTTCTTAAGTCTTTTGTATTACTTCAGGGTGTTTTCGATTTGTAGTTAATGTCCCTAATTGTAAAAATACCCTTGGTTTAAGCATGTACTATTAGAGAAACAAAGCTTTCCAGAACACAGTCTTGTATGATCTATTATGTACTTCCATTTGCGATGAGTCTTCCTTTAGATGTGTCAGTTCTTTCTGTGAAGTATGAAGGGATCTGAAGGTTATTACTATGAGATTAGAATTATTAGAATCTGTCCTTAGGCCACTTCACTATGTGCATGTTAGAATCTCTCTGCATATAGTGAAATTCAGCAGTGTGTATGTTAAATGTGTGCTGCCCATTGAAGTGTGATATTGAATAATCATAATTTCTTGAGAAACTGATGATTATTCAAATGTTTTAGTAAATACCCCCCAAAAATGTTTTCATGTACTCTATATATTAGAATTCTTCAGCATTAGAAATGGGTAAATACAACTATGTTATTGCATAGTGGGGGGGGGGGAAAGTTGGCCCTTAAAATCTTGTTTTTCCTTTTTCTCCATGTTTTTTTTTTCCTAATTAGGCAATGGCTGGAGTGATCTCCAAATACCTTATTTAAATCTGGGCTAGATATTGCCTACCATTTGAAAATAAAATAAATTATGAGCTACAGTTTGTAATAAGAGTTGACGGTGTATCATGAAAAGTTTATCCTCATCTGTTTCACTTTAGAGCTAATTTAGAAATGTATAAAAAAAAAGATTACTCAATAAAGGTCTTTAAAACCTTATTAAAAGATAATAGAGCAGGTGATGTCTTAAATATTTCTCTTTGTGGCAGTGGGGCTAGATTAGAGGGTTTGATATATCATACCAGATCATGGATGGTTTTTAAGGCTAATTCTTTTTTTCCAAGGTGAACATGGGATAGATTTTTCATTCCCAGATAGTACTCAATGTGCTGTTGTCATAACTCTCTTTGATAGCTAAAAGTCTCAAGTGTGCACATCAATGAAGTGCTTGGGAATATGTCTTAGTAGTGAACATGTTGGTGTTAGGTTAATGGTTGAACTTGTTCTTAAAGTTTTTTTTCCAAACAAAATGATTCTATTTGAAAAGAGAAGTGTAAGTTTCRTCTTTTCACGTGTCTTTTTTCTTACTATAAGTAAGCCTGGATCAAAACTCTTCTCCAGAGTATTCCAGGCTACCCATTACGTGATTTTTAGGCTTTAATAATAATCTTTTAATTTAATCTGAAACTGCCTCAATATGTCTTACCTTTATTAAACGAAATAAATGCATGTCATAGAACAGGAGCCCTACTGTAGATGACTGAAATACAATATAATTATTAATTATAGTTACTTTACAAATTTAATTTTCCTTGACCTCTTTCTTGTGTAGTAAGGTACTATTTTCATTGACTACCCATTATTTCAAAGTTGAGGATGGAGGTGAAAGATCAGTCTGTGTCACCTTTGGTTTCTTCTTCTTTGTGAAAGCAATGGCAATACTCATTGTGACAGAAAACTATCTAGAGTTTGGATTGGAATCAGGTAACTCTTTTATTTAGTGTTTGAAATAGCTGTGTTTGAAATAGTAGTGATTGCATGATCTGAAAAAAATAATTTCCAGCATTTTTGAGAATATCTGTGTTAAAATGAATGGTGTAAATCATATGCTTCTTAAGAAAATTATCTTTGGAATGAAGATTCTAAATAATATCCTGTATATTTTCCTTGCTTTTTCTTAAATAGTGCGATCTTCGACTAGGTTGTTTGTTTTGTTAATTTATTTGCCTTGTATATTTAACCCTTTTTGACTTTCATAGTAAAGTGTGACTCCCTTTCTAATCTTCCCAAAGTATTCAATTACAGATTATGTTAATCAAGTTTTATTGTATTGTGGATAACTAATTAGCACATGAAAGAGCTCTGCTAGACATATGAAAAACTATTTAAAAGATGACTTAGTACCTAGCATTTTATTTCACAAAATGGATTATTCATTTGTACTGCAATAAAATAAATAAAATATATGTATCTCTGCAGGATTCTCGAATTTCTCAGAAAGTGCTATGCAGTTTCTTGAAAAACAAGGTTTGGAATCCCAGTAAGTTTCTGGAAATTCACTTGTCTGTTTATTTGGGTATTTCTAACTGAACCATCTGGATTCTTTTAGCAAGCATTTGACCTGCATGTTCTGCTCTTGTATGTGACTATAACCTCTACAATAGTTTTAAGAGACTAATGAAAAGAATCTGGTAATACCCAAAATAACTGAAATTGCATTAATGTTTTCATTTCAATGGAAATAATTTCTGACATTTTGATTGTCGTTCATAAAGTATAGTTCAAAACTGTAAACATTATTTTCACAGTACTTGCCTTCAGCTTTGCAAGGATTGTTTAAAAGAGGTAAATGTTCTTTTGTCATTTCTATGGCAGTCAAGAGGATGAATGTGCAAAAGCAACAAGATGGAGTTTGTGTTACTGTTGACATTAGGAGTAAATTGTGTTGTTCAATCCTGTTTTCAGGTTGAAACTGTGTTCCTGTCATGCAAACACATCTGCTTGCTACAGCACATCCAAGTTTTACGTAGACCATTGAAGGAATATCCCATAGCTTGTGATGTTACATAAATACACGAATACTGTCATAGGCAGCCTGTGTATATTGCAAAATGGATTTCTGTTACAGTTCCTTATACATGTGTGCTAAAATTATGGACTATTTCATCATTGGGAGCAGAATATTGAATTTCTTGCTTGTTAGGTCTCAAGTAGCGTGCAGAAGCTGTGACATGTCTTTATTTTTGAGGAAACATACATTTCCTCAAACTAGACGAGTGAAATTTATGAATAAACTCATGGGAAACTGGAACTGAATCCCATGTGTTTCTTAGCCTTTCTTTAATCTGCTTTCCTAAGCAATTGCAAGGTCATTAACTTCTGTATTCATTTTCATGTTACGTGTTTGTTCAGTTTTAAACTTTTGCAGTTCTTTGCCTGTTTTTAGCAGCAACTGAGTTAATGGAGGTGTCTCTTGATAGTTTAGATGACACAGATTAAGAAAGAATCTGAAACTCACTTGGATCACTAGATTTGGGGTTGTTCCTCTTTAATCTGTCAGTTACGTTTCATTTATGTTTTTGTTGTTTGCTGGAAGATTTTGTTTTGTTTTGTGGGGTTTTTTTCCTCTGTAATCCTGTGTTTGTTAATTGTATAATTAATTCTGTGATTTGGTTGATCCTGGATGTTTGTAAGCTTTTCCTGTTATTTTTTTATATACTATACTAATCACATAGAAGAGACTTGTCAATTACCACATGTACATTTCAGATAAATCTGTGAAAAGCTGTAGTAATAACAATTTGATAGAGCTTTTTAATAGATAACGGTAAAGTGTCTACTTTGTCTTTGATCAGTTAAATTTATGAGGCATCTGTTCTTCTCTTAAAAACAGTCTTTAAATTCATTCTATTCTAGCTATTTCTGTTATATAATTTGTTGTTAATTACAATATTAAAATACTCTTTTTTTTCCTTTTTCTCCACTAACAAATTAACACCTCACAGGCAGTAAATTAGGTTTTCTGGTTTTTTAGGAAATAAATAAGTGACTTGGTTGGGTTTTGAAAGTATTTTTTAAAATTTTAATTTCTGATTGCTTTGTAATGATGTTGGTATTCCACAGGAAGCCTGTAGAATACTGTTGGCTTTTTAAATTAAATGTTAGTTACTGTTGGGTTGAAAGTAGTCTCTATATTCCCTGCTCCCCCAACCTCCTCCCCAAGAAAATGCTTATTTCCTTTCTTTTCTTTTAGGGGTCCTGTGTCTAAACTAACCTTCAAATTGTTCCTGGCTGTTCTGTGTTCACTTATTGGTGCTTTTTTGACATTCCCTGGCTTGCGACTGGCTCAAATGCATCTGGATGCTCTGAATTTAGCAACAGAAAAAATAACACAGTAAGAGAAAATATATGCAAATAGGTATATGCTACTCAGTCTCAAATCTTTTATGTCTAAACATAAACAAAGGAAACTATTCCAACAAGAAGGTAGTGACTTAAGACTTCTGTTGCTGCCTGCTTTTCTCATCTTGAGCAGACTTGCCCACCTGCCACTTTCTGCTCAACCTATGCTCTGCCACTGTTACATTCTTTGCCTTGTAATTTGACTTGCAGTTAAAGGAGCTTTCCTTTTCTCCTGCCAGAGCTCCACCATTAATGTCTCTTTGTCCAGCTTTCTTTTTCCATCATGTCTTTCTGAATTGAAATTAAGATAACCTTCAAGAAGTACAACAAAAGACATTTTTTTTCCACCCACGCTTCCAGCTGGGTATTGTGCCTTTAGTAATTTAGCATACAATAAAATGCAAAAATCACCCAGAATATTTAGTAAGKGTCTATGTTAATACCAGTTTAAAGGAATATTTTCATTTTCAGCCCTCTTTCCATTTGGAAACAGTAGAATGTTCTCTCCAATGTAACTATTTCTCTTGAGTGTTTTCTGGTGGAGGATGAAACTCTCCAAATGACTTTCAAAGATCTTGACTGATGATGTTCGATACATGATAATGAAAGATTCTGCAGCATAGCCCAGTCTGGTAAATTTCCTAAGAGAGCCAGTATGTTTTCCAATAGGAAAATAATTTTTGTTCAAACTGCATTTTTTTTTCTTTCCCTTCAGGAATGCTCAGTTTAAAAATTAATCTGTTTGAAGTGAGTCCTTCACTTTTGGTAAATTTAGAAGCAAGTACACTTGCACTCAGTGTAGTTGTCCAGGTACAGCAGCCAGCCGTTGGCTTGTTTTATTTTCTGTTACATTTCTGTCTCTGTGTAGACTGTCACTAAGTCACTTCCTAATCTGTTCTTTTCAAATAAATAAACTACTTGGTGCTTGATTCTTATGGTTCTCAGTATTTTAAAACTCCTTATGACTTTTCTGTAAATTTTCCAACATCTTCCTTGATCTGTGGATGTGACATCSTAGGCAGAAATATAAACTCTGAAACAAAAATCCATTAATTAAGATGAAAGGGGAATTAATATCCACTAGAGTGTGGTTATTAAAATTTTCATTAAATTGAAATAAAATGAAATTCAATTTAATTTAGTTTTCATTAAAATGAAAATTTAAATTTAAACTTCTCTGGCATCTTTGGAGGATATTGTTTGTTGACAGTAACTTCGTGCAACAACACCAAATTCTTTTCAAAAGTCTAACCAATACTTTGACTATTGAACTGGAACACTATGAAAATAACATTAAATGGGTTAAAACTTGTATAAGATATCAGCATAATTAGGTAAAGCCATTATAAAGAGTAATTGTCAAGTGATAGTTCTAATAATAATAGGTTCTGAATGTAACTTGTCCTTGCCAATGGTTTTTGGTCAATGAGTAGATAATTTATTGACTACAGTTGTTTGACAGTGACTAAAGGAGTCTATCTCTGCAAATACATTGTCTGCTTAAAAAACCCATCCAAGACAATTAAAAAGTCAAATAACACAAAACCAACAAAAATCAAAGAAAAAACCTTAATCAAACTGAAAATCCCCAAGTACTGAAAGCTGCCCCCCCAAAAGCACCAGTCTCCCTTAAAACCCAACAAAAACCCCAAAACTAAACAACCGATAAAAGACCAAAATAAAATCTGTTCCTTTAGGAAATGGAACACTTAGAGGGAACACTGACCAGAAAAAACGCAAAAACTTACAGGTTAATGATTAATTACCACTTTCCTAATGTGTTCAAAATTATTAGCGTGATTCTTTTATGGGTACAGGGAGTAAGTTTTCCTTGCTTTTTGTAAGCAGAATAAAAATCATCTTGTCCCTTYTGGTTTTGAGAACTGGTTTGATTGTTTTTCTTTGGCAGTGGTATCCTTCCCTGCATATATTTGGAGTCTCTTTAACAAATTTGTACCGTTTTCATACACATTCCCTCCTTTGCCAGAGCTGGCTTCAAGAGTCTTTCAGTCTTTCTTCCTGTACCATGAGGAGAAAAAAAAAAAAAAAAGAGAAAAAGGTAAAAGTGCTTCTAACCACCCTTGGGCACATTCCAGTCCATTGACTCAGTAGGATTTCTTAAATCAGTAAAAGATCAGGTAAAAGCCATTCACTATCTAATGAAATGCTTTGGACTGCTCCTTGATGCTGTTGCATTCCCTAACAACACTGAATAGCTAGCAGGACTTATTTCTTCATCTGAAACCGAAGATTTAAATTCATGTGTGATGACAGCTTCTGAAACATGTGAACATTTTAATGCTTTAGGAAGCTTCATAGTTTGTATTCAGGAAGGTCTTGTGTTCTTTAGAACAACTTTTGATTACATTGTTTTTTCTGTAGTGGGGAAGCACTGTTGTGGAGGTGGAGACAAACCCGACTGTTAATAAGGAAATACARCACTAACAAAACCACCCAGTCCCTTCAACTGTTCTCAATTCATTTTAGTAATGAAAAATTATTGGGAAAATGGGTTTAGAAATAGAGGAGAAAATTTAGAAATAAAGAAGGATATTAATTTCAGAGAGAACTGCAAAAACTGTATCCCCTTGTACATTCTGCTTTTTCATACTCAAAGATTGCAAAAGACTCTACTTTTATTTCTGTTGGACAGTTTCATACAATGCTTTTAATAGGGAAAAGCTGTGCTGGCTTTTTGGAATTTTTTTTCCTACTCTGAGTATCTTTAATTGGATGTAAGTACCAAGTTTAATTTAGTCAGGGTTCCTAATTAAATGCTTCATTAAACTGTGAAATCTGTCCTCTGGCAACTGTTTCTCCGGTTCTTTTTTAAAGCCAAAATCCAGTGTGATTTCACAATGTGTAATATTACTGTTTTGTTGAAATGTAAGTCATAGATATAAAATAGGGAAGTAATTTTCTTATTTATCTTTGTCCCAAATATTTTAAAGTTAAGATTTTTCCTTTTGAATATGTATACGGTGTTTCAACAGTATGGTCATTGTGTTTTTTTACTAATCTCCCCTTTTTTGTCTTCTTTCAGAACATTGCTACATATAAACTTCTTGGCACCTTTATTTATGGTTCTACTGTGGGTAAAACCAATCACTAAGGACTACATTATGAACCCACCTTTGGGCAAAGAGAGCATTCCTTTGTAAGATTTCCTTTAAAAATTCTTTCGGGTATTGAGAATAAAACTATGTCTTAGAGCTCTGTGAAAGTCATAGAAATATGAAAGACTTGAAATTTAATAGCATCTGCTGTCAGGGGTATTGTGGAAGGTGCAACTGAGTTCTGCTTTTAACAATAAGCCTCAAAACTACTTTACAGATGATACAAGTAAAACYAAAAAAAAAACCTGTAGCAGTTAGTGGACTCTGGAAAACAGCATTACCCTTTGTTTATTATCCACAGAATGTCAGAAGATACATTTGATACCATCAGATTGTGGATTATAATCCTGTTGTGTGCTTTGCGGTTGGCTATGATGCGTCATCATTTACAGGCCTATCTGAATTTAGCCCAGAAAAGTGTGGATCAGATGAAAAAGGAAGCTGGTAGAATAAGTATGGTTGATTTACAGAAAATGGTAAGTATGGTGGCACTGAGTTTATATAGTTGGAGTACTTCAGCTGTGCAAGTGTTTTTTTTCCAGTTTGCTGTCTTGTGCTGCAGCAGACCACAAATCTGAATGAACCTTTCTAGACTGTATCTCTTACAAAATAGTGCCATTATGGAGAAGTTCTGTGAACCAAAATACAGAGAGAGGCATCACCTGTATCATGTAGATGGTTTGTCCTCCATTATTTGGAAGTTGTTAAAAAAGATCCATTCTGATGACAGGTGATCTCTGACTACAACATGAAAAAGAATTTCARTAGAATAGTGTAATACTGTTACCAACTATGTTTTTTTAAATTGAGGAAAAGTTTATGAGAAGGTGGTTATATTTTGGAATAAAATGACAAATACTGAATTCTGTCAAACCACTCTCAAGTACACCCACCTAATTAAAAAGCTAGCTGTCTTACTGGGGACAAGGTGAAATTTTTTAGGGTTCTTTTTTTTGAAGTAGTAAAGCACACCTTGAACAGATGGACAAGGTAGAATGGTGGTGTTGTGTCRCCTGCAAAATAAACTGCATTTTCTAGTGTTGCATGATAGTACTGAGTTGAGATGTATTGCAGAGAAATTTTGAAGCATACTGTAAGGCAAAGATTCCTCTCCCACGATTGTCATTATTAYTTGTAGTTAGAATGTCTGAAGGTCATAAGTGAATTGTGTGTAGTTACTTACAAATAAAGTGGCTAGGAATTTTCTTCAGGAAAAAAGTTAGGTAATATATGTAGTGGCAACTGGTTAGGATAGAACTGTGCTAATTGCTATAAATGCATTACTTAGTACTGGGAATTTTCATTCTATCTGTAAATCAGTAATGTCTTCTCTGTTTGGCATTCCTTAAATCCATTTCTCCAGTATTTTCATACCTTCTCTTTTAGAAGGCCATAGTCACTCGATAAAGTCTTGTCTTGTTTTACTAATCGTGTCTGCTTCACCATTTTTAGGAGCTCCTGCCAGTGAATTCTTTCCTGTCTGTCATTCTACAGTGATCATTATTTTTTAATTTGTTACTTTTGGCATATTCCATCAAATATTCTTCTATCAAAATAATATACTATTTTGATAGTATATTTCTTTATGCCTTTTCTTCTACCAGTGTCCTACTACTTTTTCTTCTCATGTTAGTTTTTTGATGCTTGCTCATTAAGAAGCCCTTTGAGGCTTGAAAGGCTTTCCCAAAACTCTCATGTCTGCCTTCATCTTTTTTGCCACCCTGCATTCTGTTCTTTTTAAAAAACCCAGTTAGCTTGCTTGCTATTGATTTTATAACTTTTTTCCTTCTTTATTTTGTTTAATATTTGAGGTAAATAGCTTATATAAAATATATAATGTAACAATCTTGAGAAAAATGGAAGAAGTGGAAAGCAGGGAGAGGGACGTATCTATGGATTTCAATGAACCATAGTGTATACCTGAAATAAAGACCATTTAAATGCTGTTATTGATCTAATAAAAATCATCTTGTCATTGTTTTTAAAATACAGATGTTTTCCACTTGGAAATCTTAAAAATATCTTGCTTTTGAAAAGGGACTGTAATCTTAACCAAACTTTCATTTACTTTTTATGGGCTTTGGACTGTGACTACTATTTCTTTTTTGAAATAGGATTTCTTTTGTAAATCACTGGAAACCTGTAAAATTAAGCATATATGTTTTTGTTTCTGGTGTATTAAAATAGGAATCATTGAGTGATGCCATGCAGTTTGCAGAAGCAAAATTGATTCTGTTTGTTTTGACACAATTGATACTTTTAATTATTTCCTTTCAGCATTTCTCTCAAGTTTTGTTCTGAAACTAGAATTCATTATAGGTATTTCTTCATTAGGTCTTTTGAAGACAGTCTGTCATATGTTAAGAGTTACTCTTAAAACGGCTTTAATGCATAGGTACTGGTTTTTTATGTTCATAAATGTCTGCTTTGATTCATGAATTTTTCTCTCTTCTGTTTTTCCAGGTGGCTCGGGTATTCTATTATCTTTGTGTAATTGCACTGCAGTATGTTGCACCATTGGTCATGCTCCTTCACACAACTCTGCTCTTGAAAACACTAGGTAGGCAAAATAGGATCAACAAATGTTTGTTGTGTTCTACACAGGCTGACTAAAGAGAATTAGAATTCATGGGTACCTGCAGTACAAATGCACCTTGTAGTTTCCTGCAGTTTCAGACATTCATGTGTGGCTTTTAGGCAGTTTTTTCTGTTGCTGCTTTTGATATCTGAATTACATGCTCATTTGTTTTGATTTGTTTCTGAGAAATTGTATAATACAACCAATTAAGCTCTTTACTTCTGTTGAAATATTTGTCTTTTTAGCAGTATTTTAAAAATGAACTGCATAAAGCATGGTTGATTTAACTTCATGAGCACCTCACAAAGGAATTTTTTCAGCTTTTTTATTTTCAGTAGGCTTTTAGAATGGGAATTATGAGATACAGGGTTCATTTGATTACTGGGAGATCTGATGTCACTCTAGTTTGTTTTTTTTCTTTATTACTTGTGAGGCAAGTCTTTCACAGCCTGCCATGTTGTCATGTCATTCTCTCTGCAAAAAAGCAATGGGTAGAGATAGGCTTTATTAGGTTGTGATTCATCCTGCCCTGGAGTAGGCATCTCCATGTGGTGAGATGACTCATATCCAGGACGTACAGGGGTCTCAGGGCAGCTGTATCACACATAGATATTAGGATGTCTAAATATAAGATGAATCCCACCTCAGTAGCTTATTGGTATGACCAGGAAGCCATGCAGATGAATATRTTTGTATTTACTAAGTTATGAAAACTTAACATTTTTGCCTGTGTATAAAAATATTGAAGACGATCTGTAGAGTGATTGAAATAACAGAACTTTAATTCTACAAAAATCTTGTTTCTTTTTAACAGGTAATTATTCTTGGGGCATCTACCCTGAATTGAATTCTGACACTCCAGGAGAAAACAGTCTGCTTCCCAATTCTGTTTATTCTGAGTCTCCCCCTGCAGATGGAAAGATGAAAGTGACTGTAGTACAAATAACAATGGCTTTGGGAAGCCTAAAGAATATTTTCACTCCTCTCCTGTTCCGGGGACTCCTGTCTTTCCTCACCTGGTGGATTGCTGCTTGCCTTTTTTCTACAAGCCTTTTTGGGCTCTTCTATCACCAGTACCTGACTGTGGCATGAGCAAGTCAATTGATAAAGCAAGTGTGAGGCTAAATTCTGATACAAACCCAGGTACCCAAGAGGAATGAAGATTAAAAAAAACTATATATGTGAAGAGAAAACATATCATAATTATTTTTAAACACTTCCTTCGTGTTCTCAGGGTGAATAATCTTAAAATGTTTAAAATTGCAGCTGGGTTTGTTATTTTTGTTACCCAAATGGTAGGTAACTGATTGTGTTGTAGTATTGGGACTGACTGACATTATTGTGTGATAGACGGTGGTAAGCATGCTGGAAAGATGCAACTTCTGAGTATCTTGGTTTCCATAAACAGCAAGCCAACCTCAAAAATTTGCGTTTTAAGCATCAACAGTCAGTGTGAACTGCATTCATCGGGTACTGGTCATAGTGATGATGGCTGCCTATCAATTAAGTCTTGAAACTGAGCCATACAGTGAAAGGAGAAAGAGGGGATTTTAAAAAAAAATCTGTTGGATAGCTATTGATCACTTTTCTCCTTGGAAAATTGAAAAATCCAACAGAACAAGAGAGATACTGTATATTACAGTAAGGAAAGTTGTATAAAATATAAATTTAACAGGAATAGATGTATGTACCTGAGAGGTATTGCTGCCTACATATTTTGCAGAAGTGCTTGTGCAGTAAGAAGAGAGTTATAACAAATATATTACTCCAGTCCCTGCAGTCATTTTGAAATAATGGCCATATGTATTGGTGCTAGTATTGATCCACAGATTCCATCTGGATCTTTTAAATTTCTTCTTTGGAGGTAGTAGATATATTCCATTGAATTCACAAAATAATAGAAGATAATTAGTGACACCAGTCAAACATTTCAAAACAAAACAGTTTAATCCTGCTGACTGAGAGTGTATAATATGTGTAATGTGCATATAAATATATATTATATATTAAATATATAATATATATGAAGATATGAAATATGGAATCTTTATTTTAAATTACCGAATGTATCTTACAGGACCATGGCACAGGGATGTATGTGAATCTAGTAATTTCGAGATCCCCTTTTGAAATGAAACTTTTGAATTTTTCTTTTCTTTTTTTTTTTTTTTTTTTTTTTTTTTTTTTTTTTTTTTTTTTTTTTTTTTTTTTTTTTTTTTTTTTTTTTTTTNTTTTTTACTTCAGTTGAAAGGGCTATTTGGTTTTTGTGCCTCTTTGGAGGTACTTAGCTATGCTAAAGAACTTACACTGTCTTGGAAGAAAAGATTTACTTAAACTGTTAATCTTAAAATTTCTGCTCTGTCAAATCATTATYTCTTGCCTCTTCAATCTGCTAACTTGACCATATAATGATAATTAATATACCTTGGCTAAATAGATTTTCTGTGTAATAAAACTTCTATATAGTGGGAATAGCAGAGTATTAATTACAATTTGTGCTTAACTGGAGAGATAGATTCCAGTCATAAAATTACTGACAGTTTTTCAGATGTTTTGTGTATTTGCAAAACAGGAATGGGGATTTATATACAATAGCTTTTTTAAACAGTTAATATTAGACTTTGCAGAGGTTGGTGGGTTTTTTAACTAATTCTAGCTGTTTTTATGTTACTGTTCCTTTTCTCTTGAATTTGTGTACAGCTTTGGCATATAATAAGCATTTATAAATGGAAAAGCTTAACTAAATATTTAATATGTAGCAAACCTACCATATGGGAAAACAAACTCAATGAATGCAGAAAATCATGAATTTAAGCTGGTGATAAACTATCTTACTGTGTAAAAAGCTTTTAAGTTATTTATTAGTTTATTAAGTTGCATTTTATTGGTGTTGGGGAAAGATTTGTGTACACCAGCCTAGTACCTACAGCATGCATTTGGGATGTCTGAGAACACCTTGCATGATGCTACTGGTTTCATGGCAGTATTTCAGTGTGACTGGGGCTACAAGCTTTGTTTTTTTTCACACCAACTTTYTGTAATTAATAGGGATAAAGGCTTAACTGTGAATTGGCCTAAAGAATAATATTTGACCTCATARTTTCAAATGTCAAAGCATTCCTAGAAAGTATCTTTCAGATAAATAATTGAATGACAAAATATGACAGGTCCAGCAAAATTGGACCCACTTTTGTAGTAGTTCAAGATACATCATAACTACAAGATAGATCATTACAAATAGAATTAATAAGGCCAGCTTTTAGGTTAGAGTTAGGTGTTCAATGCTCATCTTTTGTTCAGAATAATAAAATTATGCAAAACCATTTGATTCTGATAGTGAACTTTCCTGATAAATATCACTGTATAGGAGATGTAACCTGTTGTTGCATTGTGAAGGAGTAAATTTTGCAGACTTGAGAATGCTTCAAAATAACGTTAAACAAGTTTCTGTTGACATAGTTATTCTGAAAGGTCATAAGCGAAAGTGAATTGTAGTTACATAACAATGCATTCCGCAAAGGTAATAAGTGGATTGTGTAGCTGAGCTTCACACAGTTTTTACTAAGAGCTCACACTACCTTTCTTCAGACATCACACTGATCACAGTGAAAAATTGGCACCTGGGTGTGGCAAATACAAAGATCAGTGCTTGTAGCCATTGTGCTCTACTGTTGTTCTACTGACTTTTTCTGCAGAATTGAATGGTTGACCTTCTGGTCAGCAGTCTGATCTGAATAGGAGCTGGTCTTTCTCTGGATCCATTCAATCCTGACATGAGCCCAGGCGGCRTACAAAAAGTAATAAAATAAAAGCCTTTGAAATATGAGGTGACAGTGAAACTAGGGGGACCATATTGCTAAGGTTGTGAGCAGTGCTTCCTACAAGTACACAATATGCTCAAAAATGTCTTTTAAAGTACCAAAGCATCCCTGGTAGTCCTGACTTCAGTGTATATTATATAAGGTTCAAAAGAGAATCTGGTCACTTCTTTAGATAAGTTCCTTTGAAATAGCAGCTGGCAAATGCTTTTTTATTTGTTTCATGGAGACCTTTACAGCACCTGGCGATGGCAGGGCAGTGCCTTGCTGAAATGGAAAAGCAAGTAAAGCATGTCTGAAAGGTTGGTGGGTTTTATTCAGGATTCTTAAACATTATGTCTTGCTTTTTTTCTACTACTTAATTAAAAAAATTTTAGAATGGTTTGGGTTGGGATGGATCTGGAATGGACCATTTTCCACCAAACCAAGATGCTCCAAGCCCTGTCAAACGTGGCCTTGAAACTCCAGTGCCTCACCACCTTCACAGCAAGARTCCCTACCTAATAGCTAATCTAAAGCTCCCCTCTTTTAGTTTAAAACTGTTCCCCCTTGTCCTGTCACTCTCTGCCTGTGCAAAACATCATTCTCCCTGTTTTTTATAAGCACCCTTTAGGTACTGGAAAACTGCAGTGAGGTCTCCCCTGGTTTCTGAGGGATTTTAGAAGGAAATATTCCTTTGGCAAAGAATCCATGTTGTTTCTTCCTTTTTTAAAATTCAAATCTCTTCCTTTCTTAGTGATGTGACTCATTATCTTCACTTCTGTTGCCAGTCTACAGTGTTTTCCTTATGTTCCCTACTCAGAACTAACTAGGCTAAATTATTTCAAGATTGTGTTTTGACTTCCATTTAGTTTAAATTTTATCTTTTTTCTGAGAATCAGTTCCTTGAAATAGTTCAAAGAGATCCTAATTCCAGCTGAAACATGAACAAACTTGTTAATAATTGTTTAAACGCTGCACTTTTATTGTATAGCTCCCTTTAGACAAAGGATTAAGGTAATGACAAATCCAAGTCTTCCGGCAAGTTCAGGGAGGTTCAAACATAACACTTGGGCTATTTCTGAGCAAAGAAAAGTTGATTCAGAAAAGGAGAATAAATCATAGAAAGCCTTTTCTTACACTTTGTAGATGACATTCTCAGGCAGCACTTGTCCTATTTGAATTCCTTCTTGAGCTATGGGTTATGCAGTTTTTGAGGTCTTGTTAGCTGCACAGTATTTTCCAGAATTCTCTCTTAAGGGTCAGTGGATTAAATAACAGGAAAAACAGGTAGCAATCAGTACAAGAGAACATCCTTGTACAGAAGAAGATGCTTACAAATACATTAATTTCTTTGGCAGTTGTTTTTCTCCTCATTTGGGACACAACTACTGCAAGGTGTTTAAATAGAGAGATGTTCTTCCCCGGATTGTAAAGTCAGATTTGTGTATGAACAAAAATGCTACCAAAATACCAACACAATAATTACGCAGCATAACCTCACTCAGTGTAGTGGTTAACAAGTACAGAAACCTAGATAACTTGAACAATTCAAAATGCTGTACTTCGTTACAGTAACTACAGCTGAGTGGTAAATGGTGGTCTTGGATGTATCACACAGAAAATTGAACACATCTGATCTTAAAGCTGTTGGAAGGCTCTCCTAAGTAAAAGGCCTTATACCTATTTATTCTCAAACATCTGTGCTTTCCACAGAGATCATTTTGATCAGTTTTTAAATACTACTCTTAATGCTTTTTCACATGACACAATTTGCACACTTATTTGTTAGACACAGCCCCATTCCACCCAGACTTAACTCCACGTTAATTTTGTCCCTGTAAAGTTAATAGATAGTTTTAGTTAAGGATTAAGCACACAGAGAAAATGGAGACATTGAACAAGAAGGCGGCTAAAGAAAATACTGTGTACTCTTGGGGAAATTAGTTATGGCTGAGCAAAATCTTAATGGAGAAAGGCAACAGCAGGTTACTTGTATCCTAAATCAAATATTAAATGTGAATCTTTTCCATTATGAGTAAGACTGTTATTTTTGTCATCTGCAGCCTAAATCCCAAATGGTAAACCAAGAGCAATATTTTGACCTCACTGATACCTACTCTAAAGAGCATCTAAATGTCTGATCTCATTAAGTAGGCTCATGCAGATTGGTCAGTCTGTGCTTCAGAGTGATTTTTGTGCTTCTCCTTTTGGGAGGCCTGCACTGCTTTCTGACCTGTGCAGCACATGCAGTGAAGGGGATGGCATGTCTCATCTTCACTCCTGAGTAGTAGGCTGAAAGGTCTTCCTCCTCTGGGTGAGATCATGACTCCCCCAGGCTGCTTTTACTGACATCTGTATATGCTGCACTTTTTTCAGTCTCCCACTGTGGACTGACAGGAGAGTAATATTGCACTGGATGTCATTTTGCATGCCAGTGTATATGTATTTTTATAATTTTGATTTCAATAGTATTTCTATTCTATGGAAATTATTCTTAATCGTAATACCATGGGTCATATGTTTTTGTTTTTTTTTTTTTAAATTAATATCAGTGCCTGCAACTAGAAGTCAAAAACTTTTACACTAATTTTTTTAAAGAACTTGATGTCCAGACTGAAATATTAACAAGTATGCAGTTTTATATCAAAGTGCAAAATCCACCTGTAAATACCAAATTTTTTCCATGTAATTACACATCATTCGAGAACCCTTAGAATTTGTCCTTGCAGCATTTTGTTCAACAACATACTATCCATATGACTCTGCTATTCATAAAATACACGTGTCAGTAGACCCTTAAGTAGTGTTCTACGGACTCCTTAACAATACGTCATTACTGGTTTTTGTGCTGCAATGAATTTTTTAACCTGGCTTAAARTTCCCGTGCTTTAAGTCAACCTTATTCTCTTTTCATCTGTTCATARTTACTCTGCCTTCCATATATGTTCTAAGCTTCCAGAGTGCATATTCACAGTATTTTTTATTAAAACCTAGGATGAAGAAAAACACACCAAAAACCATAACTACAGTTCATACCTGTGTCATGATGTGCCAACAGTTTTAATTTTTCCCATCTTTGGTCATTTCTTCATCCAGTTGTAAACAGTACATAAGGTTTTCTGGGAGGAATTCACATGGAAAAATACTCTGTAATAGTTACAGAAATATGTTTAATGTTTCAGTATTCCCATTCATGTGAGCAAATATTAATGCAAAGATACTATTAATAATTTCAGCCTCAAAAATTTCTCATAAGGTAGACCTGTTACAAATTGCACAAGGAATTCTTCCAAGTTGTAAATATTTTACTTTATATCTGGTTTCTTTGTTGCTGGGAACACATAAATGCAGTGTTGTTCAGTTAATAGTCTTCTTTTTTTGTCTTTTAAGTGGAAAGCACATAATATTTTCTACTCTGGACAAA